CAACTTTCTATCATACTAAAAATCCACATTGTACGCCACATGTGCATGCGTATACAAGGCACAGCCATGACTCATAATTTTTATCGAACTACATCTTTTTAGCATGCTTATGCAAATTACATTTTTGTACAAGAATTATGTCTTTATCAGATGGGGATCACCACAATGTAAAATGTTACTCCCTCTGCCCCATAATGTAGTGCGTATAGATTTTCAGAAAAGTCAAACTAAGCAAACTTTGACCGAGTTTACACTATTTTTATATAGAATTCCAAACATATACAACATGAAAATATAATTGATGATGTATCCAATGATATGCATTTGGTGTTTAAATGTACATATTTTTGTCCATAAACATGGTCAAAGTTTGTAATGTTTGACTTTTGAAAAAATCTGTACGCACTACATTATGGAACGGCGGGAGTACCTTTTATAGTTCTTTCCTTGTGGATCTTCTGATCACTTTAACTGATAGAATGTCAAACATTTGTTCAGGTGTGAAGCATTTCCAACTTACCCGAGAACATATGATATGGTACATGCTGATGGCTTTCTATCACTTGAAAAGCGCCAAAAACGTAGATGTTCTACTCTTGACATATTCTTGGAAGTTGATCGCATCCTAAGACCAGAGGTAACCAAGTTTTGCTAATTTTACATTTATACTGATATAGGAACTGGATCGTTCAGTCATGAAACCCATATGTAGGTTCCTGTGGATTCTGATCAGTGGGCAATAACGGTGTCCTGTTGTGTGTTGGTGGTTCTAAAAGTAAAATAAAAAACGATTCATATGGCTCCATTCTAACAATTGTTGCTGCTTAACTATGCCATATGCAAGGAAGTTTAGTTTGGGATATCCACAAGATACATTAACTTTGCTTTAATTCCAAAAACTCCATTCTTCATTGCCTGGTCATTCACTATGGCCAAATTGCAAGAGTTATGTTTTTTCTATCTATAGGCTATGTTAACTCTACTATTGAAGAAGCGGCATTCAGTATTGCGTAAACTTAGGTCTGATGCACAAACATTCTCATTTACCTGATTTTAAGAAATTGTCTTTGTAAAGTACTCTGTGTAGTTTTGAATCAGGCTGTCTCTTGGACAAGTCTTGCACTCGCATATATCTATAACTTATATATAAATCAGTGCTTGCATTGACCATTAGATGATGAGTGTTCAATGTATTGTCTAAAATTATGTATTTATTTTATGCCTATGCAGGGCTGGATTATAATACGTGACACAGCCCCTCTTATTGAAGCTGCAAGATCTGTTGCTGCTCAGCTCAGATGGGATGCCCGTATATTGGATCTTGACATAGCTAGCGATGAAAAACTGTTGGTCTGTCAGAAGCCCTTTCTGAAAAAATAATGAGCATACCAGACACTGACACACGATTCAGAAATTGGAATTATTCTTTACCCCAAAATACTGTTACACGTATTGTCCGAGAACAACTGGGAACAAATTTCAGTTGAAACACTGGAGGAATGGGTCAGCTAACTCGTCATGAATCATCATGGGTCGCAAGGTGCCATGAGACTGATCGGGCAAGTGCATGCTGCAGAGGACGACAGGCTTGGTGGCTAAGCTTTCCAGGCCAAGGTTTTACTGCCAAGAGACACGGTGATGAAGGCGGCAAAGTTAATTTTGTAGCAAAACCATATGTTTAATAAAGGGATGATGCTGCGGCGTACATAATCGCGGCCAATGTGTCACATAGGTATAATTCCATTTTTCTCCCTCTCCCTCATTGCATTCTCCTCCTCTGTAATGGTGCTCATTCATTTTTGTATCTTGTATGTAAAATTTGTTGGTATCTATACTGGCCACCCCCAGATTACAATATTTGTGAAATGAAGGTCAATATTTGAGATGAATGATAGGAAAGAGCAAAACGAAATTCTTCATATTAGATGTTTCCAATTCCACCTACATTTCTATTTGTGTCGATTTTGTGCATGTTCCACAGCATGGTATCTGTATTATTCAGGAACTACCTGCATTGGACAGCTACATATGGAACTTGCAGTTTTTCTTACAGATTCTAGTGCAAAATTCCCTGCAGCTATTTTGCACGCCGTTTTTGTGTGTGATTAGTTGCCCATAGACCATAGCCGAAGCTGCTTAGCTTTAGCTGCATGGGTGTTGCTGTACGATTTGAGCCCTCCCATGATTATACTTAGTACGCAGGGTGGAACGTCTAACTCATATCATAGTGTTCTCCAGCTGCCACGGACACCACATCATCAGCAAAGACAAACCGATGGCGATACGCCACCATAAATCCAAACGAATTGACACTGCCGATGCCATTGGCCCTTGATTCCATCCAATGTTTCTTTCATTCCTTGGCATCACAGGGTCAAACCCTGCGAAGGACGGACAAATTATCTCCTCGCAAGTCGTACTCCTGGGCTGGCAGAGCAACTCCCAAAGCAAATTCGGTTGCCGCTGTTTGTCCTGTGGCTGAAAGTTGAAACCGCTGGTGTTCCCGCAAAAAAAAAAAAAAAAAAGAGAAACCGCTGGTGTTAACAAAAGAAAGACTCGTCGCCTCCCGCTCTTGAAGC